GATTTCTAAACTAAATATGTCGACCTCATAAGTAGAAAATATGCTAACCTTATAAGTTGATCAATCAGGACTCATAATACATCATAACTTTGCCTAGAACTCGAAATGACCATAACAAAATCAATTGCAGTCTCTTTCCACTTTCACTTAAAAATAGATAAAGGCTAAATTAAAACACTATGTTGTTGATGTTTATCTTTTAAATTCTTATTTATAAGATTTTTAATCCATTTCTCAGTGAAGAAATATAAAATAGATCATGAAGATTTGACATGTGATATAGCAGTAGAGTCAGCAAGCAAACTTCTCAATTCTATTGATTATCTTAAATGGTTCTAAACACTTTCGACTCACTTTTCTTTTTCTAACAAATCTACTCACGCCATTTAATGGTTGTTTTTCAAAAACAGTCGCCAACCATAAATTCCACACCCAATATTTACAATGAAAATAAGTTTTATGCCTGTCTTGTGTTATTCTTTATCTGCCTAATCTATCAATTTTTTTCAGAAGCATCATCCAGTAAATTTAATCCTAATAATATTTTTCTCTCACCACTATTCAAGTTATAAGGGTCATGTATTTACAACTATCAAAAACTCATTAGGTGTCATTCCAAAGTTAAACTCAAAACTATTATTGTAAAGAAACTCAATCAAAAGAATATGATCTTCCGAGCTATTTCGAAAATCAATTGCAAGTAAAAATATGCACCAGACTCATCTAAATACCTTTCTAAAATCTATAAAAAATGTCATCTCCATCAGAATCAATAATTTTCAGTATCTCAAGTAGTCTCACAATCTCGCACATATAAATTTGTGCTAATTTTTGGATCTGTCTACCTCATAGAAAGAAAAAAAGTTGACCATATAAGTCGATCAACCATGACTCGTACGGCATCATGCCTTATATCAAAATCTCGAAGAGTCCATAACAAAATCCATTGCAATCTTTTCTCACTTCCACTCAAGAATAGATAAAGGAAGCTCAAGAATAGATAAAGGAAGCATTAAACAGCGAGGTCGTTGATGTTTCAGTTTCATTATCTAGCAAGCATCGCATCTTGATATATACTCAAACATCTCTCCTTTCATTCTAGATCATCAGAAAATTGACTTCAAATCATATCTTATTGCTCCCAGGATGGATTGTGAATTCAGAATAATGTCTCTCAGCAAGCTTTGTCTTTTTATGCCTGCACTATTAAGAACCCAAAATCAACCTCCACAAGTCAATATCCCACAATCGTCCAACTAAAACTCCGATCTCCTCCTGCACACCTTAAAGTCTTCTGGGCTTCCTGAATCCTCTCTTATAATGTAGTATGTACAATCATCTGAGTAAGCACTCTTGTCAACATCACAACTGATCAAATCATCTCAAGTTCTAACCTCTCCAAATCATGAATAAATGCAGTATTGGAGGTTATTATCCAACATGCTACTCTATTGGACTTCTTACTCGGAGCATTTATCACAACATCAGCCATACCAAATTGATATTGAATGCTGAGATCATAATCTTTATTTAGCTCTAACCATCTCATCTATCTCTAATTCAATTCCATTAGAGTGATAATATATGATACCGGAGGAAACCCAAACCACGACGAAAAACAAATATTGTTGCTGAAATTCGACGCTTGTAAAATATGAAATAACGACAACAAAATAACAAAACAAATATAAAGACATAACACAAACTTTAATAAGGTAGTAGCATGTAGATCTGATGGAACAGTTGCGGTAGCTGCTGGATAGCTTGGGACGGGCTGGTGCAGCGTTGAGAAGAGCTTGAGATGGCTATAGCAGGATGTGGGAAGGCTTGGGTGGGTTGTAGTTAGGTTTGGAAGAGGTGGGACAGCTTAAGGTGGGTTCTGGAATGGCTGGAGGGTGTTCGACAGGGAGAGCAACAAGTCGACAGGAGGTAGGACAAGACGGTCAGCATCAAAAAGATCTTGGAGGGTGTTCGACAGGGAGAGCAGCAAGCCGACAGGAGGTAGGACAAGACGGTCATCATCAAAAAGATCCTAGGTGCGGAAAGATAAAATGTCTCGTCCAAGTCGAGCTACAATCGGAGCACCACCAGAACTCCTGAAGACGGTCACTACCTCAGACGAGTTACAGGCAAGGCACCTTCTTACCGCTAGGTACAGCCCCCGGAGGGGGAGAACGCCACAAGGGCAGTAACTGAAATCAGCAATCATCAAACTAGCCACCATTCTCCCTTCCTAAGCAAAAATAGCCACTATATATAAGAGGGATTAGAGCTTATATTAGATAAAGCTTTCAATTAAGAAATAGAATAAATGAAGTAATATAATAGATAAGGATTTATAATAGAAGATTTCATGGAAAAAGAAAGAAATATTAGGAGGGAAAAGGAAAGAAAAGGGGGGAGAAGAGTTAAACCGTGGTTACTGTAGCTGCTAAAGTAAGGCGTCCGTGGCACTGTAACAGCTGCATTGTCGTGATCCGGGGAAGCTCCCGCATCAATATACCAAGGTTGGAAGAGCTTCAACTTCATCCGTTTAAGCTTTTAGGGCAGAAAAATTTTGGTAGGTATGGTTTGGGTAGGGGCGGATGCTAGGGACCCTAGGATAGGACAATGGTTGAGCTAGCTCTGATACCGAAGGAAACCCAAACCACAATGAAAAATAAATATTATTGTTGAAATTGAAAGGATTACAGACACGATGCTTAAAAGCATGAAATAGCGACTACAAAACAGTAACACAAATATAAAGACAACACAAATTCCAATAAGGGTTATAGTAGTAGGTAGATTTGAAGGAGGGGTTGCGGCAATTGCTTGGGACGGGCTACTGCAGTGTTGGGAAGAGCTGGAGATGGCTACAGCAGGATGGGTCGGTCAGGTTCTGGAAGGGTTGGAGGAAGTTCGACGGTGAGGATAGTAAGCTGGCAGGTGGTAGGACGGGGCGGCCAGCAGGAGAAAAAGGGAGAGGGTTGAAGGGTTGCAGAAAGAAGAAATGTCTTGTCGGGATCGAGCTACAGCCGGAGCATAATCCAAACCTTTGGAGACAGACACCACCTCGGAGAAGTTATAGTCGGAGCACCTTCTTGTCATTGGGTACAACCCCCGAAGGGGAAGAATACCTCAAGGGCACTAATTGAAATCAACAATCATCAAAAAACCTCATTCCCTAAGCAAAAACAGCCCCTATATATAAGAGGGATTAGGACTTTTATTAGGCAATATTCTCAATGAGGAAATAGAATAAAAAAGAAGTAATATAATAGGCAAGGATTTATAATAGGGGATTTCATGGAAAAGAAAGAAATCTTAGGAGCGAGAAGGAAAGAAAAGGGGGGAGGGTTCAACTGTCGTTACTGTAGTTGCTACAGTAATGCGTCTGCGGCATTGTAGCAGCTACTGTAATAAAGGAAAGCTCCTGCGGCATTGTACCTTAAAATATGATAGTTGATATAAATCTCACACTTAACTTCATACAAGTAATGCCTTTAGATTTTCAATAAAAATATAATAGTTGTCAATTCCAAATCTTGGTAGCATAGTTGTTCCCATGAGCCTTCAACTATCCAGATACATAAGCGATTACATTACCAAGCTAGATTAACACAAAACCCAAGCCCTTTAATGATGCAACACTAAATATCTGAAATCCTTCAATACTGAAAGAAATAGCCAAAATAGATATCAAAGTCGGACAACTTATCAATCTTTAAAAGTTATGTATACACTCTATTATCTGATCATATTTTCAACAAACGGGAGATTATTTGAAGTCTCTTCCTTTTTTTAAAACAAAAATAAGTGAAATAATTTGTGGCCTAGTAATTAGAGAGCATTGTTTCCCAAAAGTCTTGGGTTCAAATCACACTTTGTATTGCAAGTCCTTATCTATTTTAATAACATATTTTTATAATAGAATTAAAATAATAATAATAATAATAATAATAATAATAATAATAATAACAATAATTAAAGTGTCTCAATACATGTCACAAAAAATCACTCAAAATCACCAAAAAAAAGAGTATGTTCAGTGCCTGTTAAAATTATATCTATTAAAGGATTAATTAATAATCAGTGAAAAAAAAATAACTTTAACAGAAAAACTCACAATATTCTGACGGTGATTATGCATAAGTATGTTGAATGGGCTTTTCAAAAGTAATTCATTACTTGCATAGCAATTTTATTTTAATTCAATTAACAATGTAATTAATGAAAGCTCCTTATTTCAAACAATTAAAATAAATACTTATTATCAATTGATTTTCTTTTAAAACTACAATTAACGAAATTTATTAAATTAATAAAACTCAAATATTATTATTTTAATTTTGCTACAAAAAATATTTTAACTTAAAAATTAATAAAGCCAGATAAAAAAATACATAAACAAATAATATAAATTTTAATTATTATTATTATTTAAATTTGATTATAAAGTTATTTAACCAGAAGAAAAAAAGAAAAATACAGCCTAGTTGCCTCATGTTGAGCAACTTGGTCTGCCCATTGGTAGAGCGGCAGCTTAGACGCCAAAGTCGCGAACCATGGAGCAACTAAGCTTTTCAATTTAAGTTAATTTAATTATTCACCATGTTTTGTTTAAAAAAATTTGCCCCCTAAAAGTGATGCCTTAATATCTCTGTATCAGTCCCCCATTCCCTTCTAACTAGGATAACCTATCCCATAGCCTCCTCACCTCTCCTAGATAGATTCTACACCATAATTATATTCTACTTGGAAGAGGCATGTAAGTACGTTAATATCAATGAGATTTCCTTGGCAGCACTTGCTTCCTCCTACATTGTCACTTATTTTTTGGAATTCATGAAATGTTTATCAGTTAGTAAAAGGCTATTAAATTGGTGCAGGGAAGTGCTATCTGGCGTAGAAATTTGAAGACTAAACTTTACAGTGTTGTTTAGAAGGAATGATTCATAAACCGAACCCCGATCAAGAGCACATAGCAAATGAAAGAATTAAAAAGCTTGCGAACCTACCTGCCGTAACTTTGAAAAATCAGCTAGGAAGCCATCCTCCCAATGCTTTGAAGGTAACAGATTCAATGGGCATTCTTTGATACCTGCAATAACAGGCATATAAGGAGTTTGCTCTCCGCAGACCTTAGTCAAATTAAGCTCGGCTACCTTCACTTTTGGAATGTGTGCAGCTTCCCACCTGTGTAATTGAAAAACAAACAATGGAAAACATTGTCAATTTACATAAACCACTCACCAAAATGCAAAGCAGGTAATTATTAGGCATTTTTCACAAGAAAATTCTTAATACTAATGATAAAGAAAAATATCTCGAAGAAAAATACAAGTTATTCAAAACTCAGAAGTTATCATAGTGCTTAATGAACCAGAAGATAATGCTACAGAAAGTAGCCACCTAGCAGCAAACTGATATTCCTAAAAGGCAAACCTGACTCTATATTTCATATGTTCGTGGAAAGGAAACACCTACATCTGCTGTTAACAAATCAACAAACCCTAATATGTGATCAACTGTTTACATGATATTATAAGCTAAATAGTTAGCTCCCTGTAATGAAAAATAAAGAAAACACTGCATGATAGAAAACCCTGAAAATAGATCATGACAGCTAAACAAAGACCAGCTGTGATTGCTAAGCATACCATACTCTAAAAATTCACCATATACACATGAAGATCACTTACCTAGGTCTCTAGACAATACTGACAAGATGCAGCAAGCAAAAGCCTTGCCTAATGCCAATAACATGGTGCGTTCTTATTTTTTAAATAATCATACATTCCTCACATTTCGTAGCTGCAGCACATTCAGGACATTCTTTGGTCAATTTTGGAACATCTCAATAGACGGAGATGGAGGCAATGCAAGATATAAACAAGTTTTGGATGTTTTGTACATTACAAATGACCACCAAAGGTATAAAAACATAAACAGATCATAATCAGTTAAGAGATTATCAAATAATTTATTGATAAATTCAAGATCAAATATCCACATAACCTAACATGCAGTTTCCAATGCATTTTATCCTATGCATATGGTCTTTAATGTAACTATCAGCCCTCTGAAAACAATTTTTTGAATCAGTTAGGGAATTCCACTTTCTTTGGCATAAAATTATACAGTCAATATAGAAAAAGATAATTAAAAACGGTCAATGCTTATGATCGCCATGAACGTCCACACTGATCCATCCACAACAAGGTACAAAAGAGTAAAAAGATGAACACAACAAATAGACAGGCTTAAGAAATGAATAGTCTGATTTAGATTTTTACTTCAGATATGCCTTTGCAATTATTGTTTACTCATAATTGAAATAGTAAAGACATATTAGAAAAATAAATAAATGTTTCATAAGCTATTTAAAAAGTTTCAAGCAGTTAAGGTGTTATTATGATCGATTAAACAGTACAAACGAAGGCTTGTCAAAAAAAATCTGTACAAGAAAGTGCAGCATCTCTTATACAAATAACTATCGGTTTTACTTTTATAATAAAAGCTGAATACAATTGTATATTCAGTTTCATATCCATTCAGAAGACATCCAAGGGCAGTCCTTCCGCTATTCAGCATGCAAATTGAATTTCAAAAAACAAATGTGTCCAAGAAAGTCATTTTTATAGTATAACGCTTTATTTTTAAAACTCAAGATTTACAAAGAGGATGTTTAACTAGCCAAATATTAAGAATATTGTGAGGTTTATTATGACTTTCTATGGAAAACTTTCATTTTCCAATTCAAATGTGCTGCTCTCACTCAAAGAAAATAAAGTGAGGGATGATGGTAAATGATCCAATCAAGATCCTATAGTTTCATCATCGAAGTTCTACTAATGAACCCAAACTATATTATTAGAATAAATGTTTTTTTTTTTTGGACTTTGACCTAAAGAGCCTTGCTAGGACCTATGGTTTCCTCCTCCAATAGATTGACGATGGAGAACTATGCAATGGAGACCAATTTCACAATAAAGCTTTGTCACGACCCGGCCCAAAACTTGGGATCAACTAAGACGGGAACGATCGGTCGGACAATAAAAATAAATTCTCTATTTTTTTATTTCTATTAATAAAAATTAAATATTTAAATATTTAATTAATTATTTAAATATTTATGAAAGAGCCACTAAAGAAAACAATTAAAATAACAAATAGAATCTATGTATCATTCAGAATATTTAAATATTTATGAAAGAGCCACTAAAGAAAGCAATTAAATTAACAAATACAATCTATGTATCATTCACTTTGTTGTTCCCGTCTCCTGTACATATTATCTCATCTTCCATTCATCGAAATCAAAAGTTTAAATCTGAAAAAAAAATGTTAAAGAAACATAATGAATTATCTAAAGATAACATAAGAGAAATCACACTTCTAAACTATAATAATCCAAAGAAAAGAAATTAATATGCACGTTGGTCTTTTATAATTCTATAAGAAAATCTTTTAAAATGCTAATATTTCATATGAAATCTTTGAATATACTAATGCATGCAACAATAACGATTTTCTAAATGAAAATACTCTAAATTTTTATATGCATTAACTTTAACTTTACTTTTATTTTATACTATTTATATACACATTTGTCTGTTTGATAATCACCGTCAACAAAATCTAACACACCCTTGGTCAATATTGTTTCGTTGGCTCTCATCGGCTCCCATCGGCTCAGCAATCAGTGATCCAACAAAATCTAACACACCCTTGGTCAATATTGTTTTGTTGGCTCCCATCGGCTCAGCAATCAGTGATCTGCACATCACAATTATCTAAGGAGGAAATTTCCTTATTTGCCCCTAGCCGATATTATCTCGTCGACACGGCGGTTGACGATCTTAACATCACAATTGTCTGGGATGATAAGCTCTGTCTACTCGCCCCTGGCCAATATTATCTTGTTGACACAGCAGTTAGTGAACTATCACAATTGTCTGGGGTAATAGAAAAGCCTCTATAGGCGCAAGTACACCGTCGTGCCCTTCCTGTACCATTAAGGGATGAAATCATCCACTAAACATGCACATACAAGCATTCAAGTATATATATATAACTATTTTATTCTTTCATATCATGCATTATTTTCTTACCAATGAAACGCTTTACATATACCTACTAATGAATAAGTGCATGTTTATTAGCATCAATTTGACATGCACTAGTCTAATAACTTTATAAATAAAGCATTATACAATTGGTTGTACATAATTGTTTTCTAAAAGTCATGTAGTGGTATGCTATATCAGTTCTACTTTAAGCTACAAATCATGCAATGACATAATATAGATGCACCTCTACTATAATTGAATGAGATCCATGATCTAATAATTTTATAGGAAATCCATGATCTAATAATTTTATAGGAAATTCAACGCGTATATATTTAATATGAATATTTTCTTATCTATCAATATGAAGAAACTGCTATATCTAAATCTCTTTGAATTAAAGCATAAATGAAACATCGATAAACGAAACATACATTTTGAAATAAAACTAATTACCAGATTTAGAAACGTAACTATTCACATTAACATTGTTTGCTTGCCTTGCTGACTTACTATCTTTAGATCTTATAAGTTCAATTGTTCTTCAAGGTTAATTATTTTCTCCTGACAATTCGACTTTATTCAGCCTCAATCTTTATGCTTATAGTTTCTAATTTAATTATCATACTATTAATATATTAATACACAAACATTTATTTTAAATTCATTAATTAAAATAAATAAACTTTAATATTTACCTTAGTTATCTCGATCTCTTTCACAATTATTGACACTTATCTTCCTCCAAATTCGAGACCTAAATAGTTTTGATCCTAAATTCAAAAGCACTTAAAACTAAGTTTAGAGAATAAACTAATACATATGTATGTATGTGTGTGTGTGTATATATATATATATATATATATGGCGTCGTCTTCCTTCCCGCTCGGCTCTGCTAGGGTTTCGCCCAATAGTGAACCCTAGCAACAGTTACGGCTTCGTTGACTCCTCCCCGGCGTCTTCGCGCTCGATTCTGTTAGTCTCCCCCGCTTCTTCTCCGGCTCTGAGACGAGGCTCGTCTCCCGTCTTCCTGTCTTGCAAGCTTTCCTAACTCGGGACTTCCAGGCTCTGTGACTCTTCTGCGACCCGTCTCACGGGTACCGCTCGTGTGTTTTGCAGCTCCGTCTCGCGGGTATAGCTCGCGATTTCTGCGGCTTCTCTGCGCTTGTCCTGCCTCACAGCATCCTCTCTTTTTTAGCTTCGGCTATTTTGACGTGATTTTTTCCCCCGTTTATCAAAGCTGCTTTCTTCTCTGAATGTCGCACCTACCTTTGAGGATGGCTTCGGAAAAATCGTATGCAGCTGCCCTTGCGGGTGTCCACGTCTCAGGCACACCAAAATGTCATCTTTCCCTTCTTCATTTGAGTGGGCGGAGGACATCAAGAAACTTGGTAGGAAGAATGAAAAGTCTGTCATCTTTTTTACAAAAGCTGAAGGTATTCAATTTGCTTCCTCCTGTCGTCTGAATTTGGTTAGAAAATTTTTATATGGTCATCTCAAAATGAAGCTTATTTGCAAAGAATTTGATCTTATGCACCTTGTTAGAGAATGAAAAATTGGACTATTAGATGGGAGACACATTCTTATTTGAATTAATAATTAAGATGATTACATGCGCTTATTTGCTAGAAGGATAACATGGATTGATAACAGAGCAATGAAGATTTTGAACTGGTATGTGGATTTTGACCCACAGACGGAACCGTCAATCATTTTGGTTTGGATTCGTCTCTCTGATTTGAAATTTCATTATTTTTCTCAAAGAGTATTGTACTCTCAAAAAGTATTGTACTCTATTGCCTCGACTTATGGAAAGCCACTCAAGATGGACATTTCTACTTTTAATCTTTCACGTTCTTCTGAAGCTAGAGTACTTGTTGAAAGAGACATTACTTCACTCGCTTCTGAAGAAATCTAATTGGGCGCCATGGATATTGACAGAAGGTAGAGATTGAGTCTTTTTCGTCATATTGTTCGAACTGTCATATGTTCGGACACTCTAGTTCTCAATATCATCGTCTACACCCCCAACTCAGACCAAAAACGCAAATTGCTCCGTTAAAAGCTGTGATTTTATCTTCTCCTGATCAGCTACAAGTTTTTAACACTATTGATCATCAGAAA